ACAAATTCACAGGTACATGTACATTGTAAATACTCCATGTGTCTGTAATAAAAGGGCAAGTGGGTGCGTTACCAGCCGTTGGTCTCAGTAAAGTGTGCACGGTACGGTGGTGGATTGGTGTGGTGCGTGTAAAATACGACTGTCGAAAATAACTCATGAAAAGGCGAACCAGCCTAAATCTAGCCAGATGAAATTGAATAAATTCATGGTCTGTCGAGTGCAGTATTTTGTTGACCTGGGGAAACTTTCTAAAACTGAGAAATTGCGAGTAAAAAAAGAAACAAGAGATCGTTCTAAATGCAAACTATTTTTTTAATTACCTTAGCAACCTTGTTGTGGTTATATTTGGTATTCACGTCGCATTTCTTTTCACGATTCAGTGGGTTTCTGTTATTCGCTTTAAACCTTCCAGAGCACACACACAGAGTTTCAATGTAATCTTTTGTGAATTTCGTGGGTACGAAGTCAGGCTTCGAATGAAAGGACTGAACCAAAGGCAGGCAAGTTGTTCAGGACTTCTGGTCAAGTAACCGCATCTTTTGTGTCCAGGCAGGATCCCGAAGCCCAATCACAGTCAAGGAATGGAAATCAATTCCTGTAATGCTTCCTCGCGATGGAAGCCCAGAGTGCCAGATTTTTTACTTGAATTGGATTTCACTTGTTCCAAAGTGTAGCTGTCGCATCAACGCTCCATACTGTAACTGGGTTTTTTTGCCACTTTGGGCGTACCATACGGCACTTCCAAAAGTTCACGATGTATAACATTTAAGCGGGCCGCCGTCCATGTGACTGTGTAGCGACTGCCTGCAAAATAGCCGTAGATAGCTCCACGTTCCTGCAAGATACTCTATCCTTGCTCTGTGCTCCAAAGGTGATACTAGGTCAAGAAGAGTACTCCAATTTCATTGGTTCTTTACGACCCGTTTCGAAGTTACAAGGTCTTGTTTTTGTCTGTCTTCGTGTGTTACCTTGGTTCATGTATAAAACGTGTGGGGCCTTCATGTACTTGTAGCCTTACTGTTATGTACTGTATACTACGTGCATCTAGAAGGTTTTATAAACACAATATAATTTACGTTAGCCACATGTTAAACGTTCAAATGTCTATTGTATCAAAGATTAACTCACCTCTTCATCATTACTTATTAATGTTATGCATGTGGACACAGATTGTTGATGGCGTGCAGTTTGGATGGCAATAGTAATGATTTGTCTCCAAGTTGGCCAATCTTACGGGTTTGCGATTGGGACCACTCACATGTATATTGTATCTCCAGATCTCTAGGGGTTAACCATTGATGCATAAGTATCAAACTATTGATGTGTTTTCTTATATGCGTATTGTCTGTATTTGTGTTTACCTGTGGTTCTTACGGCATTCGCAGTTTGGAACTCCTGGCTTTCCAAGTTACTGGAATTCATCTGAGGTAAAGTTGTTAAGCCTGAAATACTTTGTGTGGCAAGCATCAAGATAGAGACCGGATGTGAAATAAAGACATGACATGCCAGTATAAGAACGTGTTTGATTTCATCATTTGTCGGAGGCAGGCACACAAAGACCTTCTTGTTTATCTTTGATTGAGAGCCAATTAGGCAGATACCTATAAATCTGAGCCGATTTTTACCACGCCCTCAAGGCGAACTAATAACAAGTGATTGGATTCCTTTGAACTAGTAGAAAAGATGTGGGGAGTTTTCGTTCCGAGAACTCTTAGATCTCTATGGACATTATGCATGCAGCCATCATGGGGCACTCGCAATCTTTGAAAAGTATCCTACGATTATTTTGTTCAAGGGAATAAGTTACACTGAAAAGCAAACGACCTTCCGAATAAAGTAATGGTATGCCCGTCTTTGATAATAAAATATTCTCTTAATACTGATGAAAATGTCAGCCATGCAGCTGTATCAAATCAAAACTATTTGAAAACTCAAAATGTTGATTCGCTTAGCGTAAGGCAAACTCCGGACTATTGAGTTTATCATCAGAGAGACCAAGTTATCTGAAGTAAGAAAGACAGTTTCTTTTGTTTTGATGGCACATTTAAAAACATTCATTTTATAAACGTCACCTTAGGCCAAACTTGTATTTTTGCGAAAAAAAATATTCTTAATTAAAACCTTTTTAAGACATGTTCGAACGGATATCCGAACATCTACATCATGATGGTTGCTATGGGTTTCTGTTTTATTGTTCACGAGGTTGCAGAATTAGTAATTTGTCTGTATAATAGAAAGTGCATGATCAATAAGAGGGGAATTTAATGCACAACTTACGTGTCGAAACAAACTGCAATGAAATAGGCATACTACAATAAGCCTAAATGAAGGACTCAATGATTGAATCTAAGTGCACTCAGTGCATATTTTGCGATGTATAGATATGTTTTCTGTTATCCAAGACGACACTGCATATGTAAATTAACTTCATATTACCTGCCGTTTGACGTGCTTTCATACAGTAAATCGTAGAGGGAAACCATTATTATCACAGCAAATAATTGGACAAATGAAAGTAGTTTATAACATAACACATGATTGAAGTTTTACTAATCATCGCCAGTGCAGCCGACGATCGTCAAACAACCTTATCACAGCACAAATCGATAAAGAGTCTCTTAGAAAAACATGATAAATACATTATAATCTTTAACATCTTAAACACGTGTGCTTCGTGCCAATAAAAGGTAGCATCAAAAACATAACGTGATTCAGCACAAATGTATGCCCTTTGCTTTCCTGACACTGTCCAACAACATCGCGAAACTCAGTTTTCAATTACTGACCCTACCCTTACAAAGCTGAAGCATTTAAACTGAGGTTTCTTCAATATCCAGCTTTCAGTGTGTCCACGCAGATTGGAGGTATAGGAGTCAGTAATATATATACTTAATAACGATGCTATATCTCAGTTTTCACTTCATTTACTCAGAAAAGGTCTATATTCCCTTGGTCTACCAGGATTTTAAAAAGGAGAATTGCTTTTCCCATAGGAATTGTGTTTCGTTAAATAGCATAATTCTTTGATAAACTGTGTGAGGTTAGGTGAGGTTGCAGGTCCGGTGAGTCGGCAGTCGACCCGTACATCTTAGCATGACGAACGTACAAAGGTGTCTCGTTCACTTGAATACCACAAATTTGGCCCATTTTCTACTTAGGACTGACAGACGCAACCCTAATAGCTAATCTGATAATTAAAATACATCGAATTGAAGTACCGGTTTGGCTTCAAAATGTATAACCACCTAAATAAGCTTTTTACACACAAATTTATCAAAGTTCCAGTGGCCAGTTCAATTTGTTTTTTTTTTACTTAACACACCATCTCTGTCACGACCGTATGCTCTATCACATTTTTATACCGACCGTCTGGTGACCGTGAGACATTCAACCAAGTGATTAATAGGGACTGCTCGTTTACATTAAAGAACCACGTGACCACTCAGTTCCCCCGAGATCGGTTACCACTGCACTTTAGGCATGCGTCTCGTTAGCAACCGAACGTCGTGCATTGTAAACTCGAGGGCAGGGATCGTTTATTGTCCTACAATAACCCTACACATTTTTTTTTTATCTGACATGAAATAAATGTGGTCATGACCTATGCATGTGCATTTGTCGTTATCGGGCCGATCCAAACATGGGTAGCGGGACTTTGGTTCCGTCTCACTTGTTGTCATAGCTGCCTACTACCTTGTCCGTGTGACTCAATCTGATCATAGGCCTGGGAACACTGTTCCTAGGTCTATGATGTGATCTTTGCCAACAGTGTAGCCTCGATGCTCCCCTTTTTGGCACCTAATAGATGTAGGTCAGATCACCTGGGTTCAAGCGCATATCCATCGTTTTGTCCCTTGTTTGCAAAATAAACTTCGTTCAAATACATTTAGAAACTCAAGGTTTCAATGAGATGATAAATTCGAAATGGCTTTGTAATGTGGTGCTCAGACTTTGTCAAGTCCAGGGTTCTGTCAGGTTTCCACAACACGCACTTTCTCACAAACCCTGAGTGTTCTTACTCATTTGACATAGTCCCAACATTGTATTTAAATTGTTGTATTTTCTGTGTAGAGTCGCCCCAGTGGTTGTTCATGGCTATAATTATAAATTAATCGTATCCTTATCAATATCAGTCTACAACAACAGGTTTTAGTCCTAAGTTTGTACCAGACATGAACGTATTCTTGTACGCTTACGCGACGTACTTCGCGGCGGTGTACGACAATCTGCCTCTCTCTAGCAGGAGTTTATTCTGTCGAGACGTAAGTTCACTCTTGTCTTAAACTTTTGCAACTTTTATCGTTCATTTATCGTTATCCACGGTTCTGGCCTGTTCACATTGACAGATTTGTCTCGTAGTACGTGTGGGTCAAGTGTGGGCTTTAAGTCAGGTCAAAAATTCATCATTTGGACTGATTTTGTTTGTCGCGTTGTTGTGAAAGTTTTGTGGAAAGTTAGGCCATGTGACTTGTACACAGCCATACACGAAGCGTAAAGACTGTTTCATATTATACTCAACGACTATTACATGTCCTTGTACGGTCTTTACACAGCTGAACTCTGTAGAGAAAGCAGGTTGCACAGTGTCCTTTGCCTTTTGTCTTTTTATCTTTTAGTCCCATCCCTTTGCCAATTGGCTCTGTCATATCTTATGACTCAACATTTTCCTCTTGCAATTATCAGAGCATAAGCTTCTTTCTTCATTACTGGTCAATCAATCCATATCAATTATTTTATCATTGTCAAACTCCATTTATTAGTGTCCACAATTGTGTAAATTCTCTCAGTCTTAATATTGAGGCGGTCCTAAATTCCTCAACTTGATTTCAAATAGAAATAAATTAACTCTAATATACAGTGAGAGTAACTCCTTGTGCCAATTTTTGGATCTTTATTTGGAGTATCTTAATCACCGAATAGATCAATCCCTAAGTTAAAACGTAGGCGTACCCCACCACTGTAGGTATCACCACCCCACGTGTGAACGTAACAGTAATACATAATTTTTGTGATTTATTTTCATCAGAACAAGGGCCTGCTTACCCATGATCATTTCGTGCATGATCGCAATCCCAAATAGCGCAGAAAATTCTGCCGAAAACGCACCACGAGGAGCGCGTAGAGAAACGGGTTGACCGTCGAATTACACCACAGCAGATAGTTCACCACTTCCCAAGCAAGATCAGAGACACAGTCCTCGCAAAAGGGGGCAAGAAGTGACGCAATGTAGAAAGGCAACCACGACACTATGAAGACGCCCACCAGAACCGACAGTGTCACCGCTGCCTTCCTGTGCCGCTTGAACTCTCTGCGCTTGAACCTGTGGTCTTGGTCGACCCCGCTACTCTGCTTCGCTGTCTCGCAATTTGGAGTTTCCTTGATCGTGGCTCTGGTGTGACGCTCGTCACTGTTGGCTTCTCTATTCTCAGCAGGCAGTTGGCTCTGGTCTGAGTGAAGACGGATTGTTATGCCTTCCAAATGCCCATCGAAAGCCGAATTGCTGTGACCCTCTTCCTCCTCCAGTCTTGGTGAATGCAGTTTCTCAGGTAGCTGATGCCGATGCCCAACGCTCAGTCGTTGTTCGTCTAGACGCTGCTCTGGAGGCTTCCTCTGGTAGTGACTACCAACACTAGTGCTCGGGTCTTTGGTCGAAATCTTCTGAGAATGCCTGGACTTCTGAAATACACCCTTTGATCTGCGCTTGATATTGATGTACACTTGTGCGTTGAAGTAAGTTATGATCAGAAGTGGAATGAAGAACTCGGCAGCCATGGTAAATCCCAGAAAGGACAGATTGTCATAAGGTTCCAGTTCGCAATCCTTGTCATAGTCTACTTTATATACGCCCGTCAATGGACCCCACAAGAAAGTTATCAAAGTGTAAAACAGCGTAGTGGTAATCCATGAAGCAATTATCATGACAGCAGCGCGTTTGTGGGTCTGGAAAGTACCATAAGCGAGTTTCTTGGTCAGCAACCAGTACCGATCAAGGCTAATGAAAAGGATCGTGATTACAGCAACATTAGTTGAGGCGTAGTCCAGAACTAGCCATATCTGACACGGGATCTTCCCGAAGGGCCAGTCGCCCAGGACGACCCATATGGAATTCAAGGGGATTGAAACGGCCCCGACTATCAAATCGGATATGGACAAACTCAGTATAAATGTATTGGCAACAGTAGAGCTGATGCGTTTGTCTTTGGTGTAAGCAACAATGACAAAAATGTTACCAATCACTGTCACTACGGCGATGATACCAAGTACGATAGATACAGATACCGTTCTGGAGAGACAGAAGACGGGCGTTTCCTCGCTGCAGACGTTCAAGTTGGAATTGTTCATAATCATGTGCGAGCCATTAACAAATGCATCCATCTTCACAACTGATAGCAGCTGCCAAGTTTACCACAACTACACAACCTGTCCGCGTTGAACATCGGTTTCGGTCGTTTTGCCGCATCACCACAGCATCTGCCTTTATACTGTGACGACGCACCTGAAGTCTATCAACCCCATGTCTCGTTTATATTTGTCAGTGGCAACATCTTGCTGACGCTGCCAGTTGAAATACCTGTGATTGGACGGACGATTGACAGGAAAGCATAAATAATGGCACCTTCATTTGCACGAAATTCACGACATATGCTGAGATTTCACCTCAAGAATTTGTTAATTGAGCTACACGTGTACGTGTAACCATTCGTTATGAGTATTTGGTCTACGTAGTTGCCGTGGTAATTTGAAAACTGCCTACGTGACAAGGTGTGAAGAGCAAAATTCATTTCCTTTTTCGAAATACATGAGGAGTAACAGCAAAGAGAAATATGCGATAGAAAACTAATGAGAGGAACCAAGTACTTGAAAAGTTTTCAATTTGCTTCACATATAGAAAAATAAAGCGAAAATCATTTTTTATTGGCCCGAGTTCCCCCTCCACCCTCCCTACGTGAGGATGGGAATACGGTATGCACTTTCCGCAAAATCTGGTAGTCATCCCCTGTATTACCGTTTCACTTAAAACCCAACCGTTACTCATGCTTGGGCATTTTGGTCTGATACCTCATGGTCCCACTTTAATCTTGCAACTTTTCGTGGTCCTTCTTGGCGAGAAGCATTTTCCTTTTTAATTGTACACACGGCTGTTTCATGCCTCCTGTTAATGAATACGTTTTAATACCTGCGCCGTGATTGACGAAATGAAAACAAGACGTGTTTGATTTCATTGCAAACACAAATTGATGGGGCTCTATCGATTTGCAGTTTGGTGACAATCGAAGAATGTTGTTGCATTGTCATGGGAAAATCTACTTTGTCACATCATTTGTGCAAGAAACTACATCTCTGATGTACATGTAAATTAAAGGACGCAGTCGAATAAAGAAAGAAACTGAAATATTTCGAAATTTGACCCCCAAACAACTGCTGGGACGATGGCGTCATTGTTTTGAAATTTCTCAAAATAATTTATTTTTATGTCTAACAAGAGGTTTCCATCCTCTTTCTTGAAAGCATAGCAGCAACAAAACAAAGATAAATAACGAATCCGGCTAAGGAAAAGCAAAACATCTTTCGTTAATTAATATACGAAAAGATGGCGCCTTTTTGTGTTATAATGTCAGCAGTCCATGCGTAGTTCTTAGCGTATCACTCTACTCTTTCCAACATTTGGTTGTGTCCTAGTTACCCTGGAAATGAACTGACTATCCATTGTTGTCAGAAATGCTGCCCAAGAAATGGTCGACCAGGTCTCAAAATGTGAACGTGTTAATATTCAAATTACATGTTATACATGAAAACATTCTTTTTAATTGTCGGCTTAGTGACGTCTCAAAAGAATGCATGATTCGACATCAAGGTTTATGTAAAATTCCCGATCACCTAATAACACCTTGATTTCGACATGTAGCATGTAATGATCTTAAACTGAGGATAGTCATGCAAGACGTTTGCAATAGAGTGATTTTACATGTTAGGACCACTCAGGTCCGGCCAGCTACAGACAAATATTAACCAGCGAGTTTTAAGTTCGACGCAATATAACTTACCCGGCATTGCGCTCATTGAGTGCTTTTAATGCTCCGCGGTGTTCAACAAGGTGTACTGTTTGAAGGTTCAGTAGGAGCCGGAGCATTTAAAGGGTAGCTGCAATGCAATGTTTAAAAAAATAGAAACCTTCAATATTCACCTTTACCTCTCAGGTAGCCTCATTTTATATTTTTGTTTCACCAGTTTAAAGGGGATTTGCTGGGTTTTTTACTTTTTATGCTAATGTATTTCCATATTCATAAGCATTACTGTGATGTCATCCCAGGAAGTGAAACTGCTGATTTTTTTTCTTTTTCAGTTTTTGCTGGCCTCAATCTTTTTTTCTTGGGTGATTCATTGCTGTTTAAGTACAATTTAAGTTCAAAGCAGCCCTTGGAAGAATTTTTTTTTCATTGAGTTAATTTTGGGTTCACAATTTCAACAGAAATCCCTATGCACTGAAGCCTTTCTTCCCTAAATGACTACAGCAACAGCGTCCAGTGCATGTGCAGATTTTATGTTTTAAAATTGTACTTTTCAATGCATTTAATTAAAAAGGGATGTCAAGTAATTTTTATACATTTGCGTAGAGTATAACGTTACAGAAAAATGGGTCTCATTGTCTGACTACACTGAAAACTTTCCATAATGCGAATGTAGCGTTCTTGGTGGTTTCAGAACTCCTTTACTCGTTGAGCTTGTTGAGGGCTCTGTCGGGTAGAAATGGTTCATGTATTATTGAATTATTTAGTGTAATGAGCCATTTTAGGCGGAGTCATTTCATATGACGATGTTATTTCAGAAAAGAAAAGGGTCATTTACTCTGAAGCGTCGGCCTGAACGATGAAAGGATGTTTACATTTTATAGTCGAGGTATATGCATTTCGTTCGCAACATAATAGCACCTCATCATTTAAGAAATAACGTGTTTGGGAAACTGAACACCAGCAGAAGAAACTGCTCCTGACAGGTGTGCCCTGTGGGCAAGAGAATGTTGATTGATTTTGCTGATCGGCATATGCACTGATGCCTCGTGTGGCCTCTAAACATGTTCAAAACTGTAAAGAAGCTAAAAAATGAAGCGCTGAATGGCCAAGTTTGCACCGTAAACAACAATCAAGACTGACATTTGAAAAACAAGCCAAATCAAAATTAATGTTCAATATTGTCGAAAAGAAAAGTCAAAAGTCTGCTAGCTGGGATAGAGTTCAGTGCACCCGCAGGAAAATCATGATAGTAAAAAAAATTGCAGGTAAGCACTGTCTTAGGAATCCACTGTACCAAATCCCATTAAAATACATGCATTTTCGACACCAGGGTTGGGGGGGGGGTAATCAATTGACCATCACATGATCAACCTTTAGTGGATCTTAATCAAATTTGATATATTGGATGTTCTTGAATGCCTACTTCAGGAAATATCCTTTGTTGGCATGGAAACCAACTATGGGGAACAGAGTCATTAAAATGTATTCATATATATCAATCTCCTACATTAGCGCACCATAACTTTTCAAGACCTCTGTCAACAAAAACTTAATTATTGTAGTATTCATAAACATTTAAAAGGTCAAGTTTGGTTTACTACAATCCACTGAGGTTTTGTTATATTATAGCCAACTATTTGTCCACCTCCAACCCTAGTGCAAGGAAATCGGACACTTCAATTTAAACAAGATTTTGAAAGGCAGCCTCATGAGAGAGCATCCCTAATTTGAGTTTCTTTCCTATTTGGGGTATGCCAGGAATCGCAAAACGTACCGCTGGCGATCGGTTCGGGGAGGGGGGGGTGTGCATTGCAACTCCACCTAAGAGTTGCACTGAATTATAGCACCTAAGTTTTCAAAGGCACATTGAAGAATCTCCTCATTACGTTTTGCCACAGCAGGATGATATGGGCAGAGCAAATGTTTGACTTTGTAATCTGTTTGTAATCAATCGACCTACTTCTCACAAACACGAAACGGGTGGGATTGATATCACCATTGATGATGACTAATGCATGCTGAAAAACGTCTACTCACTTTCGAAGCTCGTAGGATTGTGGATTATGTAGGCCTATATGTTTCTGTGTCATTCACTTAGATTTTGTTTTGCATACATGATGCAGTGGGATATACATCACACGATAACATTTGGTACAAGAAAAAAGCAGTTCTAAAGAGAAAATTGTAAAAGAAACCTTTATGGGAAACTTGGGAATGACAAACACATTTATATTTGGGTCCTGATCTGCAGAATATCTCGCGAATTCTTTGAAACACGTGCGACGTGTCAGAAATATATTTTGGCAAATCTATAACTGATCTTCCGAAGGTAAGTTTGCTTCGTTCAAACAAAATCCCTGAAACACCGTTCATTAAAAAGCTTACTGGCAGTCAAGGCCAGAGTTTAAGTGGAGAATGTATTTCACCGCACGAACCGTGTATGAACTGTAAGGGTTTGGTTGGACACGGCGCTAAAAGCGTGATATCCTTGAATACTCCTCAATGCTTGTTTTTGTAACGAATTTGGTAAAAACATGTCTCTTTCACGTTGTCTTCGCACATAAACACTTTTCCATCGCGGAGCACAATAAGCTTTGTCTACGCTGAAGCTAGGACAGAAAGTTGACTTTGCCCATTCGTCTGCTGCAATTGCATGAAATCATATGCAAACATTTACATGATAAGATAACTGTGTTCCATTATTTCCCCTTTGCTGCATTCAGGGACATCTGTCAAGCAGGTCTCTCCAATCGAATAACACACGTTATTAAAGTTAATGAACCAGTGTCGGACCATTAGTAAGGGCGTAGAATGCTTTTAAAAAGGACAGGGTGGTCACCCTGCAAATTCCCAAGGGATCGATCCGGAGACCCCAGTTTCGGAATTATCTTTATAAGGCCAGTTTTGGCGATACTACATGTAATCCTAGACTGAGACCTGCACTGTCGATATGTGCAGTCACCTTTAGTGTTTGACCCCGGGTTAAGCTGATCGGAGCAAAAACAATTAAGCTGAGTATGATGATTTTTGTCAGGATTTTCCAACGACTAAAATGCTTGCAATATCACTGAAAAAGGAGACTAATGTTTAAAAAGCCATAAATATACAATTCTGAGGTAAAAAGATTCTTCATGAATTCGATACACATTACAGATGCACATCTTTATTATGAACATCGGCCCCTATAAAGTTTATATGGTGTCGCCCCCCCCGTTTTTTAAAAATTTCCCTGGCCAGCCCATTCCCCCACCTTTCCTCATTATCCCTCCAATTTCCAACACAGAATTACGCCACTGATAGCAGACGACCCAAGTTTAATTAATGAGCTTTCAAATAGAGCTCACTCTTGGAAAAATTAATAACTGAGTAATCCCCAAGTCCTGGTTTCGTTTCTTGAGACATCCTGTAAATGTTATTCATACAGATCTGTGCCACTTTACGACTCCAATTCCTTATCATGACCACCACGACTCACTCTTACCCCAAATAAATAATGCGACAAGGATGTGAATGCGTTTTACAGACTTCCGATGACGAGACGAATTCCATCGTAGTCGATTGCGAAGTCAGCTTGTCCCCAGGTTCCATTTATTGCAGAAGAATAAACACAAAAACGCCGATGTAGCAGCCCAGCAAAACCATTAGTAATTGCTAGCTTACTGTACCGTGTACGCGAAGTGAGAACAACTGACTAATTTGCTTGAGCTTTGTACCGCACTGATATCGCAACCATGACCACGAACGCATCCATGGCACAAACTACAAGAAAGGGTATTTCTGAATCAAGGCTACGGCATTTCACACACGTCTATAGGTAGTGGCTGTAGCCGATCTAACTAATGGCTTCCATAGGTACATGTGTTAATTCCAGCCACAGTCGGAATATTAAGACTTAACCAATCCTCGTCGCCAAGAGGCACCATTAAATTGACGTAGACTCACTGAGAGTAGAGTCACCGGAGTTCACTGAATACAAAGAGATCAAAGGCTACATTTTGTTAGTTTTTGACTTTCAAGTTGTTTTGGGGGTCCGAAAGCCCCGTAGTGGAATCAAGTAAATATATATTTTCAAAAAGTGACATTTTTAAAGTCTATTTTTACCAGATATATATTTCCAACTTTGTACAAGATAACTTATTTTGCAAAGTGCGTTTATAACCGTTTGTTCTTATGAGATTGATATTCAATGACATTGACATTCTATTTTATGAAATATCGCTTTTACGAGACACATTTTTCCAAGTTCGTTTTTAATGAAATATTTTTTCCTAGTTTATTTTAAAGATATATACATATTTCACTTTGAGCATTTCATTGATATATCGCCTTTAAACCACCAAAAATCTTCTTTTCATGTCGACAATTACATTTGCATTTATTCTAAATTACTGCAGGAGGCTATTTGAACGAGGTGCACAAGTGTCCATAAAGCTACGTCTAATTTTGTTCGAAAAAATTTAGTGTTGTGAAATATCATCAAAATAAAAGTGCCAAAATAATATATTTAATATATATATAATATATATGAGTATTACTCATTTACTATTCAAGATTGGCATAATGGTATAAGGCCTGCGCTTTTACAAATGGATCTGTACAAGACCGGGTATGTAACGATCTACAGTCTTCCTTTGTCAGTTCAAACTCGGTATTTACACAATTCCGGTTTCAACGGCAGTTAATAATCGTTTCCCTTTCTGCTCACTGTGTTTGTTTCCTTTCATGCCCCACGGGTCCTAAATTATTATTAACAGCAGTTCATTTCATATTCGCGACAGAAGAAAGACAGTCATTACGTCAAATATTAGACAGGCTTCACCGATGAATCATTTTGGATACTAAATGAATTTTGAGAATACTACTCCTCAATGTGTTCTAGATTGTCGATTGCCATTCGGCTTTAGCCATATTTTTCCCCATTCTGGAACCTCTGGTAATTACCTGGTACCGTCATTTATAATGCAATTACTAACAGGCAGGCACAAAGGGACACTCACTGTAACGTTTTCGATTATGATGAATTTTTACCCCCCCCATGAAACTGTGTACCGAAAAATCATTAATGAATTTTATATTTCAATGATGCGCAAGGCAAACCTTCCACCAAGCTAGGGCTTACATTTAACTGCG